CGCGTTCCCGCTTTTTAGCAACCTCTTATCTACAGAGTCAGGGGTAGGCTTCGCTCTTACGTGAAGTCGCAGGTCACATGCGAAAGCGCTTCTTGGACAACCTTTGAGAGGCCCGAAAAAATCTCGATGTCACCCGAGCACAACAGTCGGAACAGTACAGCCGGGGGCGACGCGGCCTGCAGTTAGGGGTGGGACATTTTGCTCTCCGGCGTATTCGCCGACTGAGTGAAACCACCCGACGCTTTGCAGCCTCCCTCGAAAATAGGTGGGGAAGTCGGGAAAGTCCATTTTGCGTAAATGCAAGAGCTCACCACTCACAAACTAGTTAACTGTGAGTCTAGTGAAGAGACCGGACCTGTTCGTGTCACCGACCATAAACAATTTTTTTAAAGCGTAAGACGAAGATTTCTTGCAAAACCGGAACGACACTGCCGACATTCCTGCTCGGAGAGACCCCCCCCCCCCCCCCCCCCCCCGTCTCTACGGTGGTAATACAACCTGTGACTCTGGTCACACCAAAGAGAGGAACCTTTTTTTACTATTTTTTTTTCTCCCCTCTATTTTGCCTATCTCACGTTTTGGGGGCAGTTTTCTACTTCCTCGAATCTGCTCCCTTTTCAAGAGGAGGCTGGGGAAGTTTGTGTGCTCAGCTCAGATTTGTTCTTTGAACCTTTCTGGAAGGGGTGCGAAAAAAATGTCAGGCTCAACCCTCAACTAAGCACCCATGCCGCCTGTTTCTTTGTTTCTCCACCAAGATGCCTCGTGGCCAACGCCGTCATCACACTCCACCATCCGAACGAAACGACATGGCGGGTGGGATCGTGATGGACCGGGCCACCAAGGACGACGGCGCGTCAGGGGTGGCCCAGGGGACCGTGGACCATGAAATGCGCCCACCCGCCACAGGGCGGCTTCAAGGACCCGGCCTATGCCGACGATGCAGCGGACGGCCACATCGTAGCGTAGCTACCTGGGCTCGTTTGCTCGAAGCACTAACCGCGGCTAAAGTTAGCCGCAGTACCTAGGAGAGGGACTTTGAAATCACGTGACTGGCTCGGTAGGGATGTGGGGAAACATGGCGACGCCCCAGTGAGTGAGCGCCGCTCGGTTTGGAAATAATATGTCGTTGTAGCTGCAATATCGGGCGCGTTAGTCAGCAACGAATGGTGCCTGAGGCTTTGGCTTTGCCTTACGTCACTTAAGCCGCAAAGCATGGGCAATGACATCGCCGCGTTTTTTAGATAGTGTTTCGATTCTGGGCATTCCTAAGCCTAAATGAACGCGATAATTGTCGGCATGGCAACGTCTTTGGAAAACGGATTGCCTTGACTGAATCGGCCGGGTATTGATGGCACACAAAAGCAGACAGCGTCCCAACAAACTTCCTTCTAAATTATCCAAGCATCGCGAGGAGAACGCTGGAAGTGTAATTCTACGGTCCACACGCGCTGGCTTTCCTCTTATAAAAGATTCGAAGAAAAAAATCATAATAAGGCTTTAAAGAACGCGCGTGCAAGGCAAAATTTGTTTTATCCTTTTTGCTATAGAACGGTTACTACTGCAGACGCCAGCACGTGCGACGCGTGCAACTACAGTCGTAGCATGCACCTCGGTGCTTGGATAATATAGAAAAAGAGGTCTGTTGGGACGCTGTCTGCTTTTGTGTGGTATCAACAATCCGCTTTCCAAAGACGTTGCCATGCCAACAATTATCGCGTACATTTAGGCTTAGGAATGCCCAGAATCGAAAGACTGTCTAAAAAATGCGGCGATGTCATCGCCCATGCTTTGCGGTTTAAGTGAGGTAAAGCAAAGCGAAAGCCTCCTGCACTATTCGTTGCTGACCAACGCGCCCGATATTGCAGCGACAACGACATATTATTCCCAAAGCGAGCGGCGCTCACTCACTGGGGCACCGCCATGTTTCTCCGCATCTCTACCGAGCCCAGTATCGTGATCTCAAAATCCCTCTCCTAGGTACTGCGGCTAACTTTAGCCGCGGTTAGCGCTTCGAGCAAACGGGCCCTGGACCATGCACGAGGAGCACACCTCTGTTGGGCGGCACACGAACGCGAACACCTTCATGGAGAGAGGGCGGACGTCAAACGCATCGCGCGCATGAAGTCTCGGCGAGCCCGACCTCGACCAGGACATTGCGCTCGTTCAGCGGCACCGACTGGGCCTGCTAAGCCAGTCGGATGTGCAGCGCCATCCACCCCCTGACGCCCCCAACGACGAGACTGTCATCGATATGCGGGACGAAATTTGAGGGTTGCGGGGGGATGGGGGGGAGCTAAGCATGGACACCCTGGCGGCTCCTTAGCACAGTTTCCACACTACGATCCACAGGCGGGGGACTTTCCGGCGGGGCGGCGCAATCAAGCCGGCCACGTGCAAGACCGCGCGTGCTGCCCTAGTAAGACTGATCAGAGGCGGCGCGCAAGCAGTCGGTACCCGGACTCAAGCGCCGCCGGTAATGATGTTAGTGTATTTATCATCACTTCTGTGTCCAAATAAATGTAGTTTTGTGTTATTCAAACCGCTGGCTCCGTGTTATTCCTCCGGGTCATATATGCAGCAAGGCAAGCCGAAGAAGAGGTGTCAATATATAGACAGGATCCTGTATGCGGATACATATTTTATTCAGATATACGGGTTCCTGGATGTGGACACAGATCCTATATAACTATACGGGATCCTGTACGTGAATGTAAGTCTCCTATATACGTACAATGCACCTTTTTTAAAAAGCTTATTATGTTCCACCATTTATTTATTATTTTGCACAATCTTGAATATGTGTTCTCTTGTATATATTTGCGATTTTGCCTAATTTTTTTATAATTTTACGGAGGAATTTGTGTGTAGAATGTTTCAGTTTTTATGAACCTTGAAAGCATTTTCTGAATTATTTTATAAAATTTTAAGTGTATACTTTCTCAAATTTTATGGGATTGTATGTTTTCAATATATATATAAATAAAAATTCTCGTTTTCTCAGAATTTGCTGTGTGGTCCCATACCTCATTATTTTCCGTGATATTGGTGACCCGCCAACACTGAATATCTCCTGTTTCACCTATGATGTAATGTAGCAGATGCAATGAAGCATCTCTACCAGCCAAGGGCAGTGAATATGTTGCATAACTCAACGCATTCCTTGCAGCTGGCTCTTCCTAGAGAATCAAATGACATGCTCTCGTGCGCTGGATTGATTTGGAAGGCTCTTTGCAACAGCTTCAGTACACCAGAAGGTGAAACTGAGTATAGCTTTGCATTAATCTAATTTCTTTTTCGTCTGGAGTGGCGTGATATGGTTTAATCTCCGGTTTGATCTACTACGGTTAAATTACCCGTATTGGTCAAATCCTATTTAGCTTACAATTTCGGCAAGTACGGTTAGGCCCCCGGATTGTTTGTCTATGGTTTGGTTTCCGGATTCTAGAAATCGGAATTGCCACCGGTTCCATATGACGGACTAAAACTTAAAATTCATTCCGGTTTAATTTCAAACTGCTTTTTCGGTAGGGTACATGAGCCTGAAATTAAATCAGCATACTTACCACTATCTATGAATAAAAAGGAGTATTCGTGCCTTACTAATTACATAAATGCTTAAGTATTACCTGCTACTACGCAACCTTTATTTTGGACTGGCGTGCGTGTAACATTTTTTGTCGCACTTCAACGTTACATATTTTGCATAAAATCCATCACATCAAACAATTCTGAATTTGAAAGATTTTTGCTCAGGCGAAACGTTGCGTAGTTTTCTCACGCCCGTCAGTGCTGTGGCGGGTGTTGTTTGGTTAGAAATATATATTGTCTACTCAGTACAGCTGCTTGGTACTCTTGGCTTCCACCAAGGCTGGGCACAAACACTCCACAAAGTATTCTGGAATACAAATGCTGAGATACATGTGTTTTAAGGCTCAAGTTCAGATACTAATATACATATGTCTTATGCAACGGGATATCCCTGAGATACGCATGCAGAAACGGCAAAAAAGTATTCCGGAATACAGATAGCGATACTTATACAAACACATTTGTTCCCGGACAGCGATGCGTGGGGCGCATTTAGTTGGTGGCTAGTGTGAATGGTAATTTATGCTTGTGTTGCTCTTTTTGTGGGGATTTGTGCACAGCCCCTTACCTCGAACTCTTTATTTATCATTAATGCCGTTAAAGCGACATTTCAATTCCTTATATTTACATAGTTACAAAACAGCAAAGACAGCGTACCATGCTTGACCAAAGTCGTCTGCCCGAAATGAACCCTGTTTTGCCGTGAAGCCGCATCTCAAATTGTCGTATTATATGCTTCTGAGTCACCCATAGTTTGGGGTGATTGGACAACCGGGCCGTACTTTTTATGCACTCAACACCTTTCCAGCGTTCACTACGCAACACTGTAAGTAGTAAAGAACTTTGCGAAAGAAGCTGATTTTGTTATTTCTGCAAATAACCTTCTTTAAACCGCAGTTTTTTTTTTTTTTTTTTTTTAATCTTTGCGACTGAGATATATCATGTTACAGGGCGGGTTCATATTACAAATTCTGAAGCAACCTGCACTAAAGAGGTGTTCTTATCCTTTAAATTTTTCTTAAAAAAGTGCAACACATGTAACGAGATACCTAAGTCTGGAAAAGTATCGCGATACAAGCAATAAATTGTAAATGTATTTTACTACTTAGATACTAATACATCTGTTTAAATATATCTCGTTACAAAAATACAGATACAGGAAATTATTTATCAAATACTATCGCGATACACTTGTATCGCGATACTACTGAACCTTGGTTTTCATCTACTTTTCTTTTATCAGGCATGTCTCTGGGCGCCAACCTTTGCTAAACAGTCGTATTTTTCTGTGTCACAGCGTGATACAGAAAATATAGTAAAAGACACTAAACAGTCGATAGAAAATATAGCTAAGATACTAAACAGTAGTATCTTTTCTGTATCACTGTGACCGACGTGGCTATCTCCTTTACCCAGTGTGATACCAGCCGTCTCGAATGGCCTCCTTCGTCTGGGTGTCGTCGTTCAGGTAGCCCTTGAAGACATGGGGGCCTCGGGTGCATATCTCTCCTCTCGTGTTCACGGGAACAATCCTTCCTTCGGCGTCCACGACCTTCACCTGCAGCATAAAAAACGTATCTTTTTTTATGACTGCTTTATTTGGAAGGACTTTAGGTTGCACAGTTGTTTGCAAATTAACTACTCTAATAAAGTTTTTTTGCGTTATATTATTTGATAGGTACATACTCATTTGGGAGCTCGTAGGAGGATTAGGTAGAGATACTCCAGAACGCACTCACGAGTCACGAATACAGATACTGAGATACATATATTTAAAGGCCCAAAACACCGATACTCGGATACATTTGAATTTCGTGGCCCAAAACACAGATACCGAGATTCTTCAGCAAAACCGGCGAAAAATTATAGCGGAGTACTTTATAAAAATACAATTGTTCCCGAACGGTGCTAGGTAGGGAGGTCTTAGTTCTTGACGAAAACGAATAATAAGTTATGCTTGTGCACCTTTTTGTTTTGCGATTTAATTCTGTTCCGCTTACATCAAACTCTTTGTTGAGAATTAATGCCGCTGAAAAAAAGAATGTCGCCGCCGTTGAACCCATTGTTACAGAACGGTAAAGACTGCGTGCCATGCTTAACAAAAGGCATCTGCTAGAGATGAACCCAGCTTTGCCCATGGAACGCATCTCAAACTGTCCTCTTTGAGGCTTCTGTGTCACCCATAGTGAGGCGAGATTGGACAACGGGGCCGTACTTTTTCTTGACTCAACTCCTCTACAGCGTTCTCTTTGCTAATTTGGAAAGAGTGTAGGGCTTTGTGAGAGGAGCTGACTTTTTTTATTCCTGCCCGTAACCTTCTCTAAACCACAGCTATATCTTAACATAGGTAACTGAGATGGGTCCTATTATCAGGCGCGGGTTCATATTATAAATTACGAAGCTACTTGCACCAAAACAGATATTTTTCTTTTAAATTTATCCTAAAGGCCGACCTACATATTCATCTTTTGCCGGGCAGAGCACCATTTCCCAGTTTCCTTCTCGCCTTTCCCTCCCGCACTCTTCTCGACTCCTCTCCACACGGGGGCAGTTCTCTGAGGTACTCCCCGCCGAAAGGAAGACGGTTTCCCTCTTTCTCGAAGGGAAAGCGAGAATCGAGGGAGCGTTCCCTCTTTTCTGACTGCTTGTCGGTCTTTAAAAAGTACAGCAAATGCAACGAGATTCCTAATGATTAATAAGCGCGACAGGACAACGGACACAGAAAGAGACACAGACACAGCGCTACATACAACTGATCTTTATTACCGCTGCAGCTCGGTATATATTACCGGCAACAACACAAACAAGTTAGGAAGCAGGGAACGGAAGTACAGAGAAAGAAAAAAGAGAAACCAGTGGTCATACCATACATACATAAAGTGTCCCATCACCTGAAAAGAGTGGGCTTGCACGCCGGGGTTAACGTTGTTTTTTCAGCACCTGTCAAGTTGGCTAGTTTATGTAAAAAGGTTAATTCAACCTCGAACATCAAAGCAGACCCGGCTGCGCGAAAAATCACAAAACTTGTTTTGTTGAGTGTACAGGAGAGGTTGTGTACTCCGTGCCATTATCATGCGGGCGTCATTATGTGGGGCAGACTGGTCGCTGCCTAAATGAAAGATTGAGGGAACAGCGTTACAACGTTGATGCCGTCATATCAGGACACCTCGGTGTGCATTTCCGGGATTGGAATTGTACTCCGATTTTCACAAATTGTACAGTACTAAACCAAAACAGAAACAAAACCACAAGGGAAATACTCGAGGCTCGAGAAATTGCTAGATTAAAGCTGCAATGTGTCAGCGCACCCTCTTTATTGTTATCTGAAAAAGGATTGCAGTTTCTTGACCAAGCATGACTAGTTTCGGGTGGGTGCCGATGAATGATGCAGGAATTTTAGCCTTTTTATGTTGTTTTTTAAGAATTTTACGATGTGTATTTTTTATCTTCCTAACTTGTTTGTGTTGTTGCCGGTAATACATACCGATCAGCAGTGGAAATAAAGTTCAGTTGTAAGTAGCGCTGTGTCTCTGCCTCCTTCTGTGTTCGTTGTCCGGTCGCGCTTTTTAATTATTATGAATCACCAACTCGCCCAACTTTCTACCCTCGTGAGATTCCTAAGTACGGCAAAGTATCTCGATACAAGCAATACATCTTAAATGTATGTGACTACTCCGATACAAATACATTTTCCAACAGTATCACCATACAGAGATAGGTTACTCGAAACTATCTCTAAGATGCTATTCCCATACATTCGTATGGAAATAGCACCTAGGCCTCGCTTGTAGTCTATCTTAAAGCAATGACGCGAGTACCTCATACTATACATAAGAATAACTGTGGGCCACTAAAGGCAGGTTTGCTATTAACAAACATTCGCGTACCATCTAAAATAATATGTCTGGACATTTGTTGGCACTATAAAATAATGAATCTAAAAAAAAGTGAAAGAATGTAATTGGAAACATGGTGCTTCAGTGGTCACTTTCATGCTTCCTGTCTGTGACGAAATAACCAGTATTATTCACTTCCAGTGACAATTTTTATGGTGTCTAAAAATCACGGAGGAAGCTTGTAGTTATTTAGTCCTTAAAGGGGTAGGCAAACGAAATTGAAGCGCTCATTTTCTAGCTTGAATGTGTTGCATGTTGCACCCTAACCTCAAAAACATCAGTCTTCCGTTAAAAGGCACAAGAAAACGAATTTTAAAGCTGAACAAACGATCTTTCAATGTGCACCTGGGGCCCTAAACTCGTCAAATACAAAGTTGGAGGCAAAGTTGACGGAGCGCGCCGATTGGACAATCACGACAATGACTTCGCGTTTTTCTCGTCGACATCCAATCGGCGCGCTCGCTTTCGGCTACAACTTTGTATCTGACGAGTTTAGGGCTCCTGGTGGATGCACGCGGAGCCTATTTGGGAGGTAGTCTAGCAACGTTGTGGAATCTGCTACATAGTCGTGACGTAGCAGATTCCTTCGGAGCAGTGCCGCTCTTTGGCATTTCAACATATTCCCTCTTAGCTTTCCTCCTCATCTGACAAGTCACGCATTGTACCAAACGGTCCAAGAAGACAGAAAGGAAGGACTCCCCTCATTCTCGGACCCTCCTTCGTGCAACCGAAAACAGCCACTCTCCCCCTAGGAGATTAGTCCGTCGCTCAAAACTCGAACAAAAGTTGCTTTCCCTACCCCGTTCAGCCCTAAGCTGACAGTGTTGTGAAAGCCACGTGCTCCTTGGGCCAGCCACACGCTCGTCACCCCACGGGTATTTTGAACGGCTCGGTTGTAACGCGCTGACGCTATGTACACCACCACAACGCTGACAGCGCCATCAAGGGCAAAGCTCATAACCACGCCTGCCTTGCTACTCCACCAGCGCGGGAAGTCTTTTCTTTCTGTTTTTGTTTGCGCCGGATATCCCATGACGCATCGCGCTCTCCGTTCGCTTCTATTCGAGCGCTTGCTCGAGTGCACCGTTTGGAACGAAAAATAGAGCCAGTCGTTCAAAATACAAACGTGCGATTATCATTTACGAGTATTATCAGTCATGCTTGACCCATTCCCGAATGAAATTTGAATATTTCACTGTTTGTTTTCGTACCCCTTTTAACCAACACCATCAAGGATGACGCTCTGAAATTTTGCTTATTTTTTATAATGAAACATTAATCCATAACACTCAAAACGTCATATTTAGCCTTGGGCAAATCGCGAAAGGCAGACCGCAGCGTTGGTATGGGCCGTGCATGTCGACAAATGATGGCTTTGACTACAGTATCGTTTTTAACGTGTCTGCCTGCCCCGCAAGACCACTTTTGGTGTGGTGAATTCCGAAATAATGAACAAAAATGAAGTTTCCCCGGTCCGCTACCGCGTGAGTCTTGCGGAGCGCCACGCAAGTCAATTAAAAACGAACAGGAACGCCACTGCTTGTCTTCGGGTGTGTTTTCAATTGGTGTTGATAAACCATAGGATTAAGGCGGACGCCGTTGACGCCACAACGCTGCACTCGGAACCAATGTGACTGAGCAACGAGAAAAGGAGTACTAAAATATCACCAGAGTTTGTGAGCTGATGGGTTTTTCGCCGAAGACTGGCGTTTTTTGTCCATATGGTGAAAAGACGAGCACTTCGCATATTTAAAACAAGGGCTTCTTTCCTCTCCTTTCTTCGTAGGGACTCTTGCACATTACCCACGTTCATGCTCACTCAAAGGAGAAAAAGACATGAAGCTCCCGCTCTTACGTTGGTCCTCTTCTTAATTTCTCTTTTGTTGGTCTAGTTTGAGGTTGTTTCTTTCTTCTTTGGAGATAACGCCAGAAATGTCGAATTGAGGACTGCGTAGTATTTGACTAGTATTTGGGTAATTGAGTAGCATTGCCGTATATTTAGGCAGTAGCAGGGAAAAGAGGGAAACAGGAGAAAACGATCATATGCCCACTAGGGAAACCATGTGTCGTCTGTGCGCCTTCCTGTCCTCCCAGAACATAAGATGTGCAAGTCTTTGGGTTTCTCAACATTCAAGAAATATTAGCAAGTCCCACAGATTTTGACATATTAAACTAGAAAAAAGCAAGAAAACACAATGTCTGCAAGAATATACTTGAATCGAGCAAAATCTCAAAGGAGAAACTGTGCATCCACGATGTACGCCTGAAAACTAAGAACCATCAAGATTGTGTTTTCGAAGGACAACGTGACTGCTCTATACAGTGCTTCAGGCTGACCGCGCTTTTAGTCTTGATGGAAATATGTTCTGGAGGAAAAGGGGAAAGCTGTCAGCAAATAGCTTTCAAAGCTATCGGAAGTTCTAGATATCACCAAAAATTTTGTGAAACCGAAGTTTATAAAATGGGGGATTTTAAATTGGGCTAACGGAATTGCTTTAAAACATCAATATATCTGTCGTATCTTGTTTTCCCGCAAAGTGCAAAGAGAGGTGCTGGAGGCGCATGCAATAGAAAAGCTGGCTCGTGGCACTGCTCCAGCCAGCCTTCAATGGATCTACACGAAAAAAAGATAGATTTTATAGATTCCTGGTGAGCGACACGC